TCTATCTATCTATCTATCTATCTATCTATCTATCTATCCATCCATCCATCCATCCATCCATCCATCCATCCATCCATCCATCCATCCATCTCTATATACCGCTTCATAGTGTTTTATAGCCCTCTCTAAATGGTTTACAGTTAGCACTTAAGACACACACACACACCCCAATTCACAGTGCTTTATAGCCCTCTCTAAGCCGTTTAGAGTCAGCTTATTGCCCCCAACAATAATCTGAGTCCTCATTTTACCGACCACAGAAGGACAGAAGCCTGAGTCAACCTTAAGCCAACGAGAATTGAACTGCTGGCAGTCAGCAGAATCAGCCTGCCATACTTCATTCTAACCACTGTGCCTACCGCAGCTCCTTGTTCAATAAGAAGCATGATTAGTAAAGAACCAAACTGACAAAAGACACCGCCAGAGATAAGAGGCAAGCCAACTTTCTTACGCGGGTTGTGGCGATGCAGCGCACAGGGGATCGGAATTCTTCTTCCATTTTGGTCAAAGCAATGATTGTTTCAGCAATGGCGTTTTTCGTCACCCGAGACCAAGCTTCAGACAAGTGACCCTGCACAAGGAAGCAGTTTAGGACATGAGTAGGAAAGTGCGGGGTGGGGGGGAGAACAACCCCTAAAGTCTAGTGGAACAAAGCTGCTTTGTGTGAACGACAGAGCAGAAGGTAATATATGAAGATAACAAAATCTTACAGCTGCCATGTCTTTTATGAGCTTAATAATGATTTCTGAAATCTGCGTTGGCGTTGAGCCCTTCATCCACCAATGGCTTTCACCTCGTCTGAGATAACTAAAGAAAGGAAGAAAACTTTTTGTAATTTAGGAATGTAGCTTTTTCTTTTCCTTCAACATATTTAGTGAACTACATTGTCTGGGTCAATTTGCTCTATTCAAATCACTGGCAACAATAATAGTATTATTTAGATATACATAATAATAGTCTTTTTTTTGCTTCTAAGATTTACATATACATTGTAATTATAATTGCATTATATTTTATAGCAGTGTACTTGGTAGTGTTTTCCCAATTGCTACTTTCTGTCTCTTATTCCTAACCCCTAATACAACGATTCCCATATTAACTATTAACTAAGGCTGCATTACTATTACTATTAGTCTTCTCATAGTTCCTATCATCCATCTCCTCTCACTTATGACTGCATGACGGTAACTTTGTTGCTTGCGTCCTTGTGATTTATATGGATATTGATTGTTTCCTGGCTGCTCCTTTGTACCCTCTGACTATCATTAAGTGCTGTTCCTTATGATTCTTGACCAATGTATCTTATGTTTTTATATACACTGAGAACATATGCACCAAAGACAAATTCCTTGTGTGTCCAATCACACTTGGTCAATGAAGAATTCTATTCTATTCTGTTCTATTCTATTCTGTAATTCTATTCTATTCCATTCCATTCACTTTCTATTCTATTCTATTCTATTCTATTCTATTCTGTAATTCTATTCTATTCTGTAATTCTATTCCATTCCATTCCACTCCACTTTCTATTTTATTCTGTAATTCTATTCTATTCCATTCCACTTTCTATTCTATTCTATTCTATTCTATTCTATTCTGTAATTCTATTCTATT